ACAAATGAAGCAAAAGAAAAGAGAAATAAGGGAAGTTAAGAAAACTACTTAAATTAAGACTGAATAAAATAACTTGTAAAATTTGTCGACAGAAATAGGTTGCTTTTTTAGTACCGCGCCGGTGGGGCAACATCCCTATCCCAGTAAACGAAAACTAATTGAAATGAATTAAAAAGAATTCACAAAGAGCTTTCGTGAATCCCGCTTTGTGACAAATACGAATTGGAGCCATGATGCAATTTTCCTGAATTCGTGAAACTGTATTGAACTTCCGAACCTTCTATCCGTACCAATTCACTGGACAAGTTTTGAGCCTTTAATTTTTTTCAATTCGTTAGCACGAATTCAATGCATTCCTTGGCCATTTCTTTCGAATGCGAATTCGTTTGGACAAATTGGTACATATTGAATTAAATTCAATTGAATATACAAAGAGCTTGAGTGAATCCCGCTTTGTGACAAATACGAATTGGAGCCTACCAAAAATGTTAATTCGTTTCAATTCATTTGAATTAGTTTTTTTTTACTGGGATATTAAAGAACCAGTAGAACCGGGTAGAATCAGGAGCCTACTTGCTTTAAGTTGGTTATTGTCACGTAAGTTCCAATTTCAAACCAGTAGATAAGTATTTTCAGCTGGTTTGAATTTGGAATGTCAAGTTCAAAATGAACTGGTCTCAGTTTGAACATTACAGTCAACCGGAAATTCCAAATAGGTTACATTGTACAACATGAACTTGTTTCAACTTGGATATCGATTCACAATTGGAAATCCAAGGTGGTTACAATTGAACAGATAGTTTTGAAAAAAAATATTTGTGGAAAAAATAATACAAGATTCTTATGACCATTAATAACTTTATATTCTTAGCACGCTCCAAACATACAAACATTTTAATTAAACTGGAAGAATTAAATTAAAACTTGAACCCTATGGGAATCGAACCCCGTACCTATGACCTATCTATCTAAACGCTTAACGACCGCAGCTATCGAATCGACGTGAGAAATATTTTTCGACCTGTCTATATAAACTGCAACTTTGGAAAACGTAATAAGTTTATGTAAAATATTATAATTTTTGTAAGTACCTATAAAAATACAAGCAGAAATTAAAATATTTATAGAGATTTGCAAATATATGATATTATGTAAAAAATATTAATTAAATATTTAATACATTTTTGCTCAAATGTCATTTAACCGCTTTGTAATTTTTTGCAAATATTTGCCAAAAAATAACATTAAGCGAAATAAAAAACAGAAAATTCGTAAAAATTAAAATTCCCAAAATGACTGGGCCAGACCAGCTCAACTGTGTTAAAAAATTTCATTGATTTTCTAAAATGTTAAAACTTTTATGAAAATCTGTAGTTCACAACAAAACAATAAAACACTCTTAACTGTTTTTTGAAATTTGAAATTTTTGTAATTTTTTGCATTAACAAAATATTACAAAATTTTAAAATAATTAATAACTCAAAAGCCTTTTACCATAAATTAATAAAACTTACACTGATTACACAAAATTGTTCACTCTCTTACAAGAAAATATTAGCATGATTGTAAATTTAAAAATTTCATATTTTTAATAACAATTTTATAAATAATTTGAATTATTTATGTGTTCTACCCCTCCATAATTGCAATGAAACTCATAGGAGGTATAGTCATAGTAGTCTCTTTTTGAAGACCCTAATAAAAAATTTTCATTTTGGAATGTACATAACGTATTTTTTAATAAACTAGCTCCTCCGACGGCCGCAAGCGGCCGTCTACGGTGCTAGTTTTTATATGTCCATTGTCCAAGTCCATTATTATTTCATTAATAATAATATTCAAATTTTTTCAGTTAATAATTTGCTTATTTATATTTGAAATGTTGACGTTTCTTTTGACAATGCAAAATAAGATTTATTATGAGTACTTTCTCTTAACAAAAATAAAATTTATATATTCGCGCTCTTTTTAAATAACATACGACTGCAGCGCCACCTTCACATGTACAAACAATTTTAAAAACACCCTTCTATTAAGATTTTACATTCTCATTGCCCATTCTTTACTTCGATACTTTTCGATACATTCGACCTTTCCACTCCATGTCTTTTTTAAGAAAGGAAACGCGCGTCCATTCCACAATGGGAAAAATGTGATTGTCGTGGAAAATTTAGTCTAGACGTTACAATTATTATTTGTTTTTTTATAAATTTTTTTTAAATAAAAGACTGAATTTTCCACAACAATCAACTTTTTCCCACTGTGGAGTTGGCGCGCGTTTTTAATAAAAAAATTCGTTATGTACATTCCAAATTGAAAATACCAACATTTTTTTTTTGGGGGGTTTGAAGAAGAGACTACTGAGTATACTTTCTATGAGTTTCATTGCAACAGGAGCGGTCGAACACATAAATAATTAAAATTGTTTATAAAATTGTTATTAAAAATACGGAATTTTTAAATTTACAATCATGCAAATATTTTCTATTAAAAGAGTAAACAATTTTGTGTAAATAGTGTAAGTTTCATTAATTTATTGTTAACGGCTTTTAGGAGTTATTAATTTTTTTTAAATTTTGTAATATATTTTGTTAATCCAAAAAAATAACAAAAATTTTTTCAAAAAAAACGGTTAAAAGTGCTTTATTGTTTTGTTGTGAACTACAGATTTTCATAAAATTACAAAATTACAAATAGCAACAGTAACAAATTCATAAAAATATCAATTCGAGAAATGCAAATTCGCAAAAATAAAATTATCAAAACAACAATTAGCAGAAATAATGATACACAACAAAGCAGTTTCGCAAAAAATAACAATTAGCAAAAGTATCTAACAATTTGTAAAACTGTCCATTGCGAAGAATGCAAGTTTGCAAAAATAACAAATTTGAAAAATAACAGTAAACTAAAATAAATATTTGTAAAATGTAAATTTGCAATAATAATTCTTTGCAAAAATAACAATTGGCGAAAATGACAATTTAAAGAATTCCAATTAGCGATTAATCAAACTCTTTAAATTTGAACTTGAAATTCCAAATAGAATGCATCCCCGATTCAAATTAAACCAAGATGACATTAATCCTTCACTGTGCTATATAAATTTGGAGTTGGAAGTTCCAAACTCAAGCTTGTTGATTTTTAATTTAACAGGACAAGTGAAATGTAGTATTCGAGAATCCAAATTGAACCAAGTAGATACTTGAACTTAATTTTGTATTTGGAAATGCAAGCTGATACTTGTAGTACGTGCGAACTTGGAAATACAAGTAGAGATGATAAGATTGGAAATCCATGTTAAAACAAGTCGAAACAAAAATTGAAGAGGACAATCCAAGATAGAACCATTTCAATTTTATCTTGGATATCCGTTTCAGTTACATAAATAAGATTTCCAAGTTAAAACCAGTAGAATTGCTACACGGAAAAGTTTTTCAATTTGGAAAGCAAGTTGACACCAGTAGATCCATGTTCAATTTCTACTGGTCTCAACTGGTTCTTTAATATAGGGATGAGAAGATTTGCAATTTTTTCCATATTATTAATTATTTTACGTTTTTTTAAGAAACAGATGGCCTTTGTACGCCTTTATTACTAAAGACTGATTCCCAAAGATGGTTATTAAATAAAATAATAAAATATATATTCGATAATTTTTATTTTTTTTTGCGCTTTAAACCTTAAGTACCCCGTCTTGCCCCACTCTACCCTACCCCCACTTTTCACCAAATCATGAACATAATTATTTATAAAATCTTTGTCTAAAAAATTTTTAATAACGAAAAATCAGCATTCTTCTAAATCAAAGCTTCCACATTAAGATAATACATTTTCAAGTTTCCGACTATCTGTATAAGAGATAATTCGAAAAGAGGATCAGGTACGATTTATCGGTTTGAAAATTTGGAATCTGGAAGTCATTTGGAACAACTCCCCACCGCAAGTTTGTAGCGTTACATTTTAGAATAACCTGCCCACCTCTGAGGAGACCTGTGGGTAAGGGTGCAGTCCCATGCTGAGCAGAAAACAGAATGCAAAGCAGAATTTCGTGAGTGCAAGAGAGATAGTCAGATATCACTATCCTTTCCGCACGGGAAAAAATTATGCGCAAGCGCTGCGCTACACACGGAGCAGCAGTCATCTATAGACTGTGTGCTGCTGCGACTCAGGCTTGTGGGTAGGAGCTGCCCATGCTCTGGATACCGCGTGTCTATTCCAGCATATTTACACTGATCCGGCACAGCGCTTGCGTATTACATGTGACGTTCCGCGACAAAAGGGACCTTAGGTCCGAAAAAATTAATTTCGAGTTATGTATATTATTCAATATTTATTGAGTTGCTCTTTCACATACAAGCATCAAAAATAATTTTTACTTATAGATTTTTTTGTTATTAATGTTTAAAAATGAGCTTGTTGAGTGTTTACACGTGGTTGTTCAGAAAAGCAGCCCCTCTACTTTTCAATACAACTGCACTGGTCATCTACATACAATTTGTGCGCTTCGTGTAACGCGGACAAATATCAATGTGTAGTGAGTAGTGGGGCTGAATTCTAGTAGAACGTCTCCACCAATCAGAGACGCACTACTTCAATCGCCTTTCCTGCAAAATTCACTATTGGGAGCTAAGGTCCCTTTTGTCGCGGACAGTCACACATGGGTAGCATGAGTCCCGGACTCAGTCACCAGCTACACAAATACTATAGACAGGAGTCGCTTGAAATTTTGTGCTGCGCGTGACCGCCAGTAGGCAGCGCTTGCAAAAGATTTTTTCCCGTGCACTCTCACGAAATTCTGCTTTGCATTGTGTTTTCTGCTCAACGTGGGACCGTACCCTAATTGAACAACATTTGGCAATCTGTTTGTTACATTTAATTTTTTGTTTTTTCTCAAAGTTTCTTATTTCCTTCTCGCAATAGTCATTTTTATACTTCAGGTCAAGAAGACTAGAGACAGGAGAACCAACTCGCCTGCTTGTTCATAGAGAGCAGTGGTCTCGATTTTAACGTACGACTGGGCGTACTACCCCGAGGCACACTATTATATTTCATATAACTTGTTCGAAGATATTACTTATGTAGTACCGCAACTTGCTGTTGGATGTCGCCACTTTTAGAGATAGATCAAAGCAAAATATGCTGTGGATCTGACTTCATACATCCCCTCTTTGTCTACCTCTTTGTCCATCTCTTAGGTCCTTTGTTCCTTCATTCGTTTCTTGGCGTTGGATCAAGCCACATATCTACAATGGAGTCAGAAAATTCAACGGCAGACAGGAAAGCAGCTTACAAAAGAAGACTAAAGGAATTGGAGACTGAAATGAATAGCGTTTTTCAAGATATGGAGGATCTTAATAAATCACATGAGGAAGATTCAGAATTGACTTTCGAAGGTAGGTTATTTGTGGATAGTTCAGCATCTCAGGATGATTCTTCCGACACGAGGGCCGAGTTTCAATTCAAAGTTGATCCCATGTGCCCAGATAAAGTCCTGATCTTGGATTCAAAGTCCATGACGGATTCTAAAATAAATTATTCTAATTATAATGTTCCTCAGAAAATAAATACGCCTCATTGTATTTTAGATGTAATCAATCATGAGAAGAGTACGGACAAAATGGCGGAACCAGAGGAATCTGAGACGGTTCATGAAAATTTCGAGTCGGATGAGGCCTGTATTTATTTGGGTGATAATCCTTCTAATGACACAGAAGATTTAATTTTGCTAGAAAGCATCGCTAACCGCTTAAAGTCTTGGACAAAAAAGGGAATAGGAAAAAAGGAGATTAAGGAGGAACTCTTATCCTCAATCCCAAGGAAAGGTGCGGTCAATTTAGAAGCTCCTATTTTGAATGAAGAAGTCTTAGTGGATATCCATCCAAAATCGCTGATTCGTGATGAATTTTTTCGTGATTATCAAAATTTGACAGGCGCCGCTTTAGCATCCTCATCGTTGGTTTTAAGTATGATACTAAACGACTCGCAAAATCCTTTGGAAAGAGAAGATGTTCTAAAAAAACTCTCAGACACAGTGAAGCTTCTCTCCGAACTATTCTTCTCATTGACATCAGCTAGAAAGACTTTTCTACTTGGTAGGTACGAGGAACGTGTACAAAAAATTCTAAAGAAGGTCGAGCCATCAGCTTTACTTTTTGGAGACAACTTAAGGTCTCTCATAGAATCCTCGAAGGCGATGGAGAGGGTTTCAAAGGAGTTGAAACCAAAACAGAAATACCAGTCTAAACCATCTACTAGTAGCAATTTAAACTGGAGGAGCTCTACGATCAGAAGAGAGGTGGGTCGTGGGAGCCATTCTTACAACCGCCAAAGGACAACCACCTCGAAACCCTCGGGAATGCCAATATCATTCAAGCAGAGGACTCCTGCAAAGAGATATTACACACAATCTCAGCCTCAACAGAGGAGTCAGCGACATTAGAGGAGAGTGTAAGTATACATTCAGCAAGATTAAAATTTTTTATTAATAACTGGAGGCAAATAACACAGGACGCTTTTGTTCTTGAAATTGTCTCTGGATATAAATTAAACCTTAGGCAGGAGGTATTCCAATTTGGCGATATTCACAATCCTGTTCCTAACAATGATTTCGACATTGCAATTTTAAAGTTATTAAATTCTAACGCTATAGAGTTGTGTAATTTTGACAAGAAACAATTTTTATCCTCATACTTTCTTGTAGATAAGCCAGACGGTACAAAGCGGTTCATTTTAAATTTAAAAAAATTTAATTTTTTCTTAGCCAAAGAACATTTTAAAATAGAGGATTTGAGGACAGCTATTAATTTACTTTCCAGAGGAGATTATTTATGTAGGTTAGATTTAAAAGATGCATACCTATTGGTACCCATTCACGAGAGTGACAAAAAATATCTTCGTTTTGAGTATAGAGAAAAATTATACCAATTTAATGCGTTACCTTTTGGGCTGTCGTCAGCTCCTTTCGTGTTCACCAAGCTTTGTAAACCAGTTGTAAATTTATTAAGAAGTATGGGTATTAGACTCGTGATATATTTGGATGATTTTTTAATCTTCGGTAGTTCTCCGGAAGAATGTAGGAAACATACGGAACAAACAGTATCCTTATTAGTCTTTTTAGGTTTCAAGGTCAACTGGGAAAAAAGTGACTTATCCCCAAAGACAATTTGTAAATTCTTAGGAATGATAATAAATACGGTTGATATGACTATCGAGTTACCGAAGGAGAAACGTTTAAAAATTAAAGATATAGTCAGGGTAATGTTACTAGATAAAAAAGTAAGAATTCAGAATTTAGCAGAATGCATTGGAGTACTAGTAGCAGCTTGTCCGGGTGTTGCTTACGGCTGGCTCTACTACAAGGAACTTGAACTAGTTAAGAGATGTGCACTAACACTTAATCATAATAATACAAGAAAATTCACAAATTTATCAGAGGGTGCTTTAGAGGAACTAAAATGGTGGTATTCAGAAATTTTAGTTGTTAAGAACAAAATTAGATCAAGTAATTATGACCTAGAAACTTTTTCGGATGCTTCTACCACGGGTTGGGGAGCGACTTGTGGTACAAGAGAGGCCCACGGATCGTGGACAATTAAGGAAAGACAGATGCACATTAATTATTTAGAAATAAAAGCAGCCTTCTTTGCCCTCAAATGTTTTGCTTCAACAATCTCTAACAAACAGATACTCTTACGAATAGATAATATAACAGCGCTGGCTTATCTCAATAAGATGGGGGGTATTAAGCATAGAGATTTAAACAATATAACAAAAGAAACTTGGGAGTGATGTAAGACTAGACAAATTTGGATTTTTGCTGAGTATGTTGCGTCGAAAGAAAATCCTGCGGACAAAGGGTCTAGAATTACAAATCCAGATACCGAATGGGAACTTTCAGACTTTGCCTTTGTGAGTTAGTTAAAAAATTTGGAAATCCAACTATCGATTTATTTGCAAGTCGTACAAATACAAAATGCGACACATATTGTTCTTGGGATAGAGACCCTGAAGCTTTATCAATAAAATCGTTAACAATAGATTGGAACGGCGAATTTTGGTATGCTTTCCCCCCGTTCTCCTTGATTGCTAGATTACTTAAAAAAGTTCGAGAAGGAAGGTTCTACGGGTATTTTAGTGGTCCCTTATTGGACAGGACAACCTTGGTTTCCAGAATTTAAAAGACTTTTAATTTCGAATTTAATTCATTGGCAACCCTCAACTAATTTTTTTGCTTTCTCCTTGCAGAAAAATGGTCCATCCGATGGCATCCAGTCTTATCCTGGTTTCCGGCATTGTTTCCGGAATGGAGTCCATGTGAGGGGTTGGACCCACAGAAATTGACAATTAAGACGGTAATGTTAATAGCACTGGGGTCAGCATTCAGAGCTCAATCATTAGCTTTAATACAGCTAAAGGACATAAAATCGCATTCAGGTGGTGTGGAAGTTAGGATTACGAACTTAATCAAGACTTCGAGAGCAGGAGTTAATCAACCACGAGCCTTTTTCCCATTTTTTAGTGATAAGGACTTATGTGTGGCCTATACACTTTTATATTATATCGAGGCTACAAACTCAATTAGAGGAGAGAAAGAAAGATTGTTTTTATCGTTTAAGCAACCTTATAGTGAGATAGGCTCTCAGACCATAAGCAGGTGGTTAAAGTTTGCCATGAAAGAGGCAGGTATTGATGAGAAATACAAAGCGCACAGCACCAGGCACGCTTCTTCTTCAAAAGCCTCAGTTAGAGGTATTGACCTTAAAGTTATTAAAGATGCTGCGGGATGGTCTGAGAGGTCAAGTACTTTTTTTAAATTTTATAATAGACGGATCGACGGCTCCGAAGGAAGTTTTGCTAGAGCAGTATTAGCTCAGACCTGATACTAAAAGGGAAGAAGAAAGAATTTTATTTTTTTTTCTAATACGAAACATTCATTTTATAATATTAATTACTTTTCTTCTTTTCATGTTTTACGAATAAAATATATTCATACAAGTAAAATATATTTGTTTAGTTACTCTAAACATCTACATAAGTAATATCTTCGAACAAGTTATATGAAATATAATTAATGATTAAACGAACTTACAAGTGAAGTTCGATAATAATTATATGAATTAATTGTTCGAAGATATTAGTTCCCACCCAATATTTAAAAAAAAATATTTTTTTTATTCAACCCAACCCAAAAAAAAAAAAAAAAAATGTGTTTTTTTATACTCTAAACTAAATGAAGGAACAAAGGACCTAAGAGATGGACAAAGAGGTAGACAAAGAGGGGATGTATGAAGTCAGATCCACAGCATATTTTGCTTTGATCTATCTCTAAAAGTGGCGACATCCAACAGCAAGTTGCGGTACTACATAAGTAATATCTTCGAACAAGTAATTCATATAATTATGATCGAACTTCACTTGTAAGTTCGTTTAATCATTAAGTCTTCTGCACATCCCAACACATGCATAACTTTATAAACTCTATCTGTGTATCTTTAGATAATGTGTGTTTGTTTTGTTTACAATTTTCTTGGTTATATGTGCAAGTTCTGTGACAGTTGATTTTGAAAATATAATATTATATACATTCCGATGGTCCCGATTTTAACGTACGACTGGGCGTACTACCCCGAGGCGCACTAGTCTTCTATATATTATATTATATTATTATATACAGTGCCGCTCAAAAGGATTTGCCCACCCTACGCCATTCAAGGGCATTACAAAAAGTTTTGTATCTTCAATAATAATAAAGATAAAATCTTAATCAAATATTTATTTTAAACCTTAAGTATTTGACTTGAAATAATGCCAAAAAAAAATTCAAAAAAAAAATTTTTTAATGTTTAATTGCATAAAATAAAAAAAAAAATTTCACTTTTTTTGAAAAATTTCAAATTGATACAATTTTTGAAGAAATTATCACATTTAAAATCTACAAATGTCATTGGAAAGCATTTTATGTCACCTTTCAAACGATTTTTTGAAAATTGCTCTACGATAATTTTTAAGAAAGATATGATCATTTGTTTATAAAAATAGCCTATTTTTTCAATTGTTGGTAACTTGAGAACAATTAATTTTTGAAAAAAATTGTTAAGGAAAAAAATGTGCCTCTTTGTGCGTAGAATTAGAAAAAAAATATTTAAACAATAAAAAAAAGATTTTATTTTACATTTTTTCCTTCTGTATATATTTTTAAGACGAATAACATATACTTATCAATACATATCGATAAAATCTAACACAACATAAATTATCACTGTTAAAAGAACAGTTAATAATTACACTTTTTAAATATTTAAATAACATTAATTGAGGCCTTGGATCGAATAACTCGCCCGACGCTCGGAGGAACGCGCAACTGCCAGTCAGTGAGCAGTGAGCGCCTCTGGGCCACTCACTGCTACCCGACTGGTATTGGCGCGTGTCTTCGAGCGTCGGGCGAGTTATTCGATCCAAGGCCTCAATTATAAAACATTTATTTGTTTATAAATAATTAAATCAGTGTTGTTAAAAATAACATTCAATATAAAAATCACGAAATTAATTAATTAATTAATGTTATTTAAATATTTAAAAAGTGTAATAATTAACTGTTCTTTTTAACAGTGATAATTTATGTTGTGTTAGATTTTATCGATATGTATTGATAAGTATATGTTATATTCGTCTTAAAAATATATACAGAAGGAAAAAATGTAAAAAAAAATTTTTTTTTATTGTTTAAATATTTTTTTTCTAATTCTACGCACAAAGAGGCACATTTTTTTCCTTAACAATTTTTTTCAAAAATCAATTGTTCTCAAGTTACCAACAATTGAAAAAATAGGCTATTTTTATAAACAAATGATTATATCTTTCTTAAAAATTATCGTAGAGCAATTTTCAAAAAATCGTTTGAAAGGTGACAAAAAATGCTTTCCAATGACATTTGTAGATTTTAAATGTGATGATTTCTTCAAAAATTGTATCAATTTGAAATTTTTCAAAAAAAGTGAAAAATTTTTTTTTTTTATTTTCAGCAATTAAACATTAAAAAAAATTTTTTTTGGCATTATTTCAAGTCAAATACTTAAGGTTTAAAATAAATATTTGATTAAGATTTTATCTTTATTATTATTAAAGATACAAAACTTTTTGTAATGCCCTTGCATGGCGTAGGGTGGGCAAATCCTTTTGAGCGGCACTGTATAATTATTATTATTATATTATTATTATCTTCATTAGTTTTTATAATTTATAAATCCCTTTTAAAATTTAAGTTAAGTTAGTTTAGTTGAAAAAATTCCTCTTTTGGAGGTTATGGTTAACCTCAAATACAATGCTATAACAGAAATAAATATAATTGCAGCAATAATAAATATATAATAAATTATATATTATAGTAGGAGCGATAATAATTTATAATATAACATCCCCTTTTTTATTGTAAGATTAAAAATGGTTATGAAAATCCCATTACAAATTTTATTATTTAAATTAACACTCTTCATCAAGGCGAATCATAATTAAAAACACTAGTGTTAAATACACTTCTCACTTTTTTTTAGAAACTTTTGTATTAAAAATATTAAATTCACTTTATTTTTTTCCCTTTTTTATTCAATATGAAGGAGATAATAACAAACTTGCAGCTGTTACAGCTGTCAGATGGAATATATATAAAATACACACAGTTATGCATGTGTTGGAATGTGCAGAAGACTAGTGCGCCTCGGGGTAGTTAGGTAGTACGCCCAGTCGTACGTTAAAATCGGGACCCGATGGTCCCGATTTTAACGGGAGTATTTCCGATGAAATACTCGAGTTGGTTCTCCTGTCTCTAGTCTTCTTGCTTCAGGTCATTAAGCTCTTTATAAATATTCTCAACTTTGCTTAGGAATCTTTAAATCGAAAGTTTAAAAAAAAGTATTCACGGTGAGCAAAATGTATTCATCGTAACCCACCAATACGGTTTTACGCGAAAACGTATTCACCAAACGTCAACACCAATACTTTTTCTCTATTCTGAATACTTTTTTTTACTGGGTAACATTAAGAAAAGTATAAAACTTATAATTAATAGTTTTGATAATGTTTGTTATTTGTCAAAATAAATAATTTTCTAAAAAACTACAAAATTTCTAATTTTTGAACTATAGTTCAAAAATTAGAAATTTTGTTCTTTACTTTTGATTTTAATAATAATAATAATTATTGTCATAATAATTGTAATAATAATAATAATAATAATAATAAACTTATTATTATATATACTTTAGTTATTATATTTTATTACCAAGCACGTGTAGAAATTTCCCTAATTTCCCTTATCTAAAGTTGAAGTTTGGTAGGTTTCTAATAGGGAAAAATATGCACAGGAAAAAAAAAGTCTGACTCCGTTTACACCTTAAATTCAGCCCATGTATTTCACATAAGTCTGTCCTTGTTTAATGGGGCTGACTCCGTTTACACCTTAAATTCAGCCTCGAAAACAGGCTGAAAGTAAAACTTTTTTTTTAGTGTGTGGAAAACTCGTTAAACCCTTACATTTTCAGTGAAGCTCGAATCTTGTTAAAAAATTTTGAAAGGGAAAATATAGCGAGAGCCTTACGAGGACCCTACGATGTCCTATAGACCCATTTCTTTGTGATTCTCCCCTCCTATTTTCTTTCTTTGTATCTTTTTTATTAACAGGTTAGAAAGAGTAGAAAAAAAACAAAATGAGGGAGAGAAAAGGTTAGTCACTAGATTGTTACTAGATTACCATTCCCAATAGTTTTAGGTTACTTTTGGATATATTATTTAATATAAATAATAACATTAATAAATCGGACACACTATTCAGTGTTATAAACTTTAAAAAAGGAGCAACATAAATTAAAAATTTAAAAGTTACATAAATCAAAGATTTTTTTTTACTGTTTATCGAAAAGTAGTAATTTTCGTAAAAATTAAAAAAAAAATTTATATTTTTTTGAAAAAGTATTTATTAAAAATTACATGGAAACTGTTTTCATATTCACTATTTATTATAAAAATTAAAGTCTAGCAAGTTTTGTCAAAATTATAATTATCAGAAATCGTAGCCCCTGTATATCGACAACCCTTCATACCTCTGTGTCAACTCGTGTGTTAACTATAATTCAGTAGAATATCAGTCCGATTCAAAAATTTTTAATTCTAAAGAGAAAAAAATTAAAATTTTCTTTTCTGGAATATAGTATTTAGAATTTAAAAAGAAAATACCATAATAATTGCATTTACATAAATCTATTATTCGATTGATCTAACTAGGAGGTAAACATAGGTAAATAACCTAGTACATAGGAGAGTGAAAAAGGTCGGTAAATCGACATCGACTAATCGAACTTTTTCTTTTCGATAATTCTCGCATGTTTTTTTAAGAGCTATAAAAAAATTAATATTTAAAGTCAAGAGAAATAAAAAACAGCAAATAACTTAGAATTATTATGTTAATTTCGAATTGAATAAAAATTTTTATTTTATACAAATGTACTGAGTTGATGACTAATTTCGATCTTTTAAATCTTACCCATTAGGCATTTTAATTATAAAAAAATTGTAGGTTAGGTTTTAAATTCTCAATTATCAACGTTTATCAACCTCGAATTCTTATTGTATAGAAAGGATAATTTTTGTAAACCAGTTTATATGAAATAAATAAATGTGCATATAGCAGAATGTTTAATTTACAAATGTAAATTACTTACTTTTTAAAATTTTTTAATTAAAATATTAAAACAGGACCTGCAGTATGTAAAAATATTGCAGATCAAAGAACCGGTTATAACCCACACTGTCCAGGTGTATAATAACCGTTTCTTTCATCTGCTTTAGCTACTATCGATAGTTTATATCGATAGACACTAACGTATCGATATCTACTATTCGATATTTCGCAGGTTTTTTTTATATAATCTCGATAACATAGTTCAATATTTTTTTTACGATGTTTAATCATTAATCCATGATTACAGCCATAAATAACTTTGTCCTTGCTAACCCTTCACTAACATCAATAAATATTTAATTTTAAGGTCAAGTAAAATTTTACTCGACTTTTTACTTACTTTCTTATGATGCTATATAGCTTAATTTTCCAAAATAGTTTATAATCTATTTGTTTATTAAAAAAAAATTAAATTACATTTTCTTTGTCTGTATGTGTAAAATGATATATTGCTAAGAGCTAACCTAACCTGAAGGGTAGGTTAGGTTAGGTTTGCGCATCTAGCTTAGTCATCATTTTTCATATATGGAAAGAGATTAATATTAATGGAAATATATACATACACACATACATACAAAATATATATGTACATATATATACATACATATATAAATACATATATGTTTAAATAAATAAATAAATATATATATATATACATATAATATAAAATATAGATTTTTCATTATAACCTACTAATTAAATCGTACGTACAATATACGTTTTTGTATGTACTACCATTGCCAAATATATTCTGACCTTCCGGTTAACTACTGCGCAGCGAAAATACACAGCAAAAGTATGCGCATAACCTAACCGGAAAGACAGTATTTATGCACTTGGATGTACATGAGTGCAATTACGTTTCCTGACCTCATTGTTCTTTATGCTTTCATCTGAATTTGTATATATCGAGTCATACTAATCTTATGAGTCGTTTGACCTTCAAAATATGTATATTATACAACATATATATAAAATTGTATATTTAGAAAATTACATAATTGCACTTATGTGGTAATTTTAATTTATGTTTACAACAAGAGGTTAAAAATGCTTATAAATAAATAGGTTTAAAAAACTTAAAAAAAATTAAAATATATATATGTATATATTCTATATATTAATAAATATAGAGAGGGAGTATTTATTATTTTATTTATTTTATTTTATAAAGAAAATGCCTTCGAGGATTTTAGTTCGTTTAGTAACCAACAGATGCTTACTAAGAAATCATAGCACCCTTCAACCCGCAATCCCCTCCAATTTCCGGTTCGAAGAAACTCGAAGAGAGAGGGGGTTATGGATTACAAAATTCTTTATCAAAGCATCTATTGGTGAATAACCGAACTAATGCCCAAGCTTCTGTGCCGCTTTTGATAAGATGGCGCTGATGTACGCGATGTTTAGTTGTTTATTTGCAAAGGGTGTAGTGTTGGCACATTTTGTACTAACCATTCAGCATACTTTCCACTGTAGAAGTTGAGGAAAATTCCATTTGCCCCCACCACTAATGTTTTGTAAGCGGTTACTACCCCGCCAGATACCATTTCCCCCCACCACAATAAAACACAAAATTGCGTTACCCCCACTTTGTTTAACATTGGGGCAACCGGATGTGCGGCAACGTCGCAAACCGTTACTTGCGTTGTTGTGGTGGGGGTATGGAGGGCGTCAGCGGGGGCAAGAAGCGGGCAACGTTTTTCTTTTTGAAATCCAGTCTGCTTTCCTCCGTTCGACAGGACTATTAGAATTGCGCGCGTCGATGCATATATAACCTGTGTGTCCTCGATTTATTCTCTATTTGTGATTGTATATATATAGATATATATACTGTGGCGTGCGCGCGCGCGAGAGAGAGAGAATTTCAAGTTGAAAACACGCCGGTATAATATTGAATTGGTAGGGACGAAAATTTTGCGCTCTACGCACACGTGGTATTGGTGCGCGCCCTATGCAAACCCGTATGTCAACGAAACGAATAAGACGTGAGGGCAATTTTCTGCCAAAGTGGAAGTGCTGTTCTGTGGCGGGAAATTATGTGCATGGACGTTCAACAGACTAGTGAGACGATGGGAGACAGAAACCTCGACGACGAGGTACAAATCTTAGAAGCTCATATTGATAAAGGTGAGTTGAAAATTTTTTTTTTTCGTGGAAACATTTTTTTTTTTTGTGATCGTCTTTTTTTTCCTTAGAGGTTATGTGTGGTGAAAACACAGGTTAGTTCTCTTCTCGGTGTGTCTCTCGTTCGTCGACTCCCACTAATCCCACTCTCCTTGTGTTTCTCAGTCATCCCCACACCGAATGCTCCCTTCACTCTTCAGCGCCCCTTTTTGTCTCACCAAACTTTATAACCGCTAACACACACACCCCTCAAACTTGTTTCCTTTTACTGGATCTTTTCTCGTTTTTCTCTTACCTTCTAGTGTTTCTAGCCCTTTTTCCACTGTTCTCCTTTACTTTGCGAGTTTCACCTCCATGCTTATAACTTTAATCACGTGTTTCTTGTTATTGTTTTTATCTTTCTATATTCTGATTTTTTCTGACTACTTTCTACTACTTCTACAATTAACATTTTACAGTTGTATAGTAAAATTATTTCTAAATTAAAAATTTATTTTTAAATTAAAAACTATTTTTAAATTAAAAATTCTTTTTAAAAAGTGAAGTTTGTAAAATGTTCCAATTACAGTGTAGCACGTGTTTTAAAACTATTTTAACTTCTGACTTGGCGTTTCGTGTCTAATCTGACTATTTTTAAGTACTTTTTTTGCGAAATATATTTTTTATCATTTTTAGATTATAAAGCAATATTTTTTAATTCAATAGTTTTTTTTTCTTTAACGTTCAGTCGTAAAGTGTTTTTTTACGACTTTTGGTTTCAAAGGTTAACTTTTCGAAAATTCGTAACTTCAATAAAAACAAAAAAGTGTCAAAAGACAATAATTTAAAAAGGAAAATTTATTTAAAAGTGACATTATTCAAAACATTTCGAGTCTGTGCAATATTTTTATTTTCTGAATGTTTAAATGAACGAAATTTATTTATTTCTTCTTTAAATTACCTATAATAATAATAATAAAGAATAAACATAACGGTAACATCTTTTTTTTTTAAATGAAGAATAAATATTATTTATTGCAATAATTTTTCGTCACTATTAAACAAAATTGTTTATAAAGTTTTTAAGTGTAAAAATTTTGTTTTTAATTTTTATTTCTATCAGCAATTTATAAAAATAATTTTAATAAACAACACTTAACAAAAAAAATAATAATAATAACAAAAATAATAATAATATTTCGTTCATTTAAACGTTTAAAACCTAAGGAACATTTTTTAGTCGAGGGGGGGGGGGTTTAATTAAATTTTACGAAAATTGTAGTTTTTTGCTTTTAAACAAATTTTTTTTATTAATGTATTAAATTAAAAGTGTGAAAGTTAATTAACTTTTAAAAATTCGATTTTTTTTTGTTCTCTTGTCTGGATTATGAAGAAATTTAAAATACAGTCGAAACAAAAGTTAGTCCAATGTCATTATTTCGTATTTTAAAAGAAAAAGATAAATTGAATTTTAAATTCGTTTTGGTGCGAAGGGTGAATAATTTAATTTTGTTAACATTTTAAACAATTAAAAGTTGCATTTGAATAAAAATTACAATTTTCGGGTAGAATAAGAAATATTTGTCGAAAGTTTAGGTTATGTTACCGAAAGTGTTTCTAAAACAAATTTTCTACGATTCAGAAAATTGTAATTTTTATTCAAATGCAACTTTTAATTGTTTAAAATGTTGAAAATTAAATTCTTTAAGCTTCCACTAAATAGAATTTTAAATTAAATTTAACTTTTTAATATAAAATATACGAAATTATGACATTCTTTGTCAGGCACTTTTTTAGTAATAAAACTAAAAGAGCTTCGTAATAAAAATGAGTTTTTACAATTTCTTTCATTTATGAATAAAAATACTTTTTATAAATAAGACAAATTTATTTTTATTGAAATAATTTTAATTTTAAATCAAAGATATTAAATTTCATCCATTTTTTCATATATATAAAACAACAAAAAAATTATTCTCATATATAAGGAGCAAACAATTTTCTGACCTACTTTCAACATTATTGGGTCATCATCGAGTAAAAGAAAACTAAAACTAATATTTGAGAGGGAAAAATTTATTTCATAAAAAATTTTTTATTTTTATTAGTACAATTTTTTTTAAATATTTGTTTAATAAAAAAAATAATAAATTAAAAAAATACAATAAACCGACATTTTTTAGAGAAATTTAACATTTATACGGTTAGTAGTTCGTGATAATTTTTTAAAATTTTTAATCCTCATCCTTATAAAAATCTAATCCTCATATAAATACAAAAAAAAACTTGGAATAAACGCAAACATACGAAATAAATAAAATCTAACTCACGTGGGGATTCGAACCTCCCACGATTACGGAGTTCGACTAGTACTTTACCACGAAGCTACGAACGCTTACTGAACATCAAATTATTATTAGTGTTTTGATGAGGCTTTGATAATTCAATAAAGCATTTAATGACATTAATATACCGTAATAATAACTAAATAGTTTAATAATGATGATAATAATAATAAATATATAAAAGAAAGAACAAATTAATCTGTCTCTAAGGGCCAGTTTCATCAATACCGATTAAAAGTTAATCAATGATTAAATCTTTTCTAAAAGTTGCAGACCATCAAAGTTGGACAATGAAAATTCACTGAAAACGAAACCTACATCTATCATTATCACTTCATATCTCCGATTCTATTTATCAAAAAGTCTTGGACATAGGCTCATTTAACGTCAAATTTTATAATTTAGTTAGTGTAACTGAAAAAAAATTAAAAAGAACCATACTTACTTTTCCAATGGCAAATTTAATTTAATCAGATTCCACTTACATAATTAAAAGAATATAATTAATGCACTTAGCAAATTTCAAGTTAAAATGAATAAATTTACCCAGTTAAAGGATCGTCTATATATTACGTCACATTTCAAGGGGTGGAGGGGGAAAGTCAAGCTATATGTATATCTTGTGCAGTCTATAGAAAAAAATAGCGCCAAAGTACGTAATAGTTGTAGTTCTTTTTTTCTTTAAATAACAAAAAATACTAAATTATATACTGGATTTTAGTAAAAAATTTTAAAAAATTTAATAATCAGATGCAAAACATAATAGTTTTTAGTTATTTCTTGTTATTAGAAGGGTGTCAACCACTGGGACGCTTGCCTTTATATTAACTTTATCTAGCTGCACATCAAGTTTTATAAAAATCTGATGGTTAATTCAATTATCGATAGAACCTCCTTAAGTGGGTGTCAGTTACAGTTTCATCCTACACGGAATGAAAAAATCTAAAGAATATTTTAAAATTATATTGCAAACTTGTACGAAGGGGAAAAAATTTGAATAATTATTTGATTTGATTTCAAAGTAATTTTATTTTGTGCATAGGGTAACTGCTTCTGACGTTGGCAATGCGTTCCAGTGGTTGACACCCTTCTAATAATAAGAAATAACTAAAAACTAGTATGTTTTGCATATAATTATTAAAATTTGGAGCATTTTTTTTTCAAAAATCAAGTATATACTTTAGTATTTTTTGTTATTTAAAGAAGAAAAAAGGGGGTGCCAACTTTTTAAGACAGTGCCAATGACTGGAACAGTTACCCTATGAAACATTTAAGACGAATCAAGAATATCGTGAATCAAAATATTTATTAGAGAATATATAAAGGGAACTTTTAATTAAAATTAATGTTACATTTCTTAAAAATATTAATGTACAGATGTTGAATTTTTTAATACTTATATTAGAAAGTTGATTATAGAAGTCGAGCTTATTAGCCAATTATAAATATATTATAATAATAGACAAATATCTAATTTGCAATTCTTGATTCAGATGTTAACCCAATCTATCCCGTGTAGAAATTTAACCATGGCCCAAATCGGGGCCAGATCTTTTGATCATTGTGTAGGCCATAGCATGGCATAAAACACTTTTTTTTTCTTTTTCTTTTTTTTACCTTTTTCAATTGAAGGTGTTTCATGCCATGTTATGGCCTAAATATGGCAATTTCTACACGGGTAATTATGGCAAACCGATTTCTATTTAAAAGCTATCCTTTGTAGATGCATATGTAGTATCCATTTTTTAGTATTTTATGTACTACAACTTATAATACTCTAATAAGTGTAAGAGAGATTCGAGGGAACACTTTTCATCCAACAAATTCCACCTTGGTATTAAAAATACCCCCTAAGGTCTGCATGCTGTTTTAGAAAAAGAAAAATCGAAAAAGAATTTCTTTATGTGATGAAGCTGAGACTGTCACCTAGTTATCAGCACCCACTTAATTTTGGAAATTAAATTTTAAATTTAAATATTTTTTATGAAGCTGCAACTTGCACTCACAGCATTCACTTAATTTTTCAAAATTTTATGTTGGTTTTGAAAAAAATAATATTTTCAAAATTAAGTGGCTGCCAGTTTCAGCATCATCTCTATCATTTAAAAATCAAACCCTAACTTACTCTACACTGAAAGATTAAAAATTATATCGTTTCAATCTCAAAAAATGTTAATTCTTTCGATTTGATTGGATTTAATCTACTAGCATATAAAGTAAAAATTTTGAAGAAATGAACCCTTTATAATAGAAGATGGTTGTTGACAAATAAATTGAATTTATAATCAAAGTAATAAATACCTATTATTTATTTTAAATAGGTATCTATATTAATTATTTTTTCCCTTTTCAATTGTGGAGGACTTCACTTTCATTCCTTAGGCATAAAGCCACTCTTTTTGGAATTTCATTTTCGCATGTCATCTTTAATTTATGACCACGTCCAAAGGGAAGGTTAATACCCCAATCTTTAGTAGTTTTCGTGCCGACAACATTCCCTCTTCAAATTCCAGTGTTCTTAAAAAAAAATTCACCTTTCCCTTCTCAAAACACATGGGACCCATTTTAAATACTGCACATCCCTCAAAAATTTAACTTCACCACTGCCAAACACATGGCCCAACCGAGTCCTTTATAACTTCAAAATAAAACCTTTGAATTTTCAGTACAGTCTTAAAT